AGGTAACATGATACAGCTTTGATGTCATTGGTTATATTTTGGGGCTACATAATAAACAGTGATGAATTCTTTCAACACTGTTATTTACTGTTTGTAGGTCTGAATATTCATGAATTCATTCACTAATTATTCTATGATATGTGACTTTTTGGACAAAGTGAGCCTTTTCATGTTCACTGTAGTCTGATTAATCTGAACCAGGAAACAAGTTAGATTATAATGTAAATTGACGTCACTGCTGAGAGCTGAGGGAGAACTGGTCTGACAGCCTTTGACTGAAACTTGATAAGCTGTTTATTCTCTGACTGCACACAACTACACACACATGCCACCCTCTCTTTCAGTTACTGGAGCCAGGAAATCCTAATATGGGCAAAGAGGGTGGAGCCTGGGTGGAGCTGAGTTGTGATAGGCTGAGACAGTTTGTGTCGTTCTACAGGACTACCAGTCCAAGATAAGACGGCAGATAACTTATGTCTATTTAAAGCCTTATGTTGATAATATAGCCTTGTGAATTTATTTGTTATTATTTACTGTTCTTAACAACAATTATTAAATGATGAATTGAGAACTGTGTATTTATTGGCAGGCAACATGACACAAGTTAAACTGCAGCCTGTTGTTGGTTATTGGGAGCAGTTTAGAGCTTAACACCCTGTTCACATGTTTTCATTCAGTTTATTTCAGCAAATTAATTTAGAACAATGAACAGTTTCACTGGAACTACTTAGTAGAAAGAAGTAATAAGGACACCCAGCAGCCAATCATAACCCAGTATTCAACAGACCATGGTATAAATATATTTAAATAATTCATTTCAAAAGTTCACTTTAATTAATTTGTAAGTTCAAACCTCTGTCCATTAACAATATTCTCTGATTTCACCAGGGAGCCACAATGACAAAGGAGGTCCTCTTGAGCAATCTGGACGACCTTGGAGAAGATGACTTTAAGCGATTCAAGTGGTTCCTGAAAGATGAACGACTGAAAGACTCCTCAACCATCCCATGGAACAAGCTGGAGAAGGCAAAGACATGGGAGACAGTCGATCTGATGATCCAGACCTACACACTTCCTGGAGCTGTGGAGGTGACCAAGCAGGTTTTAAAGAAGATCAACAGGAATGATCTACTGCAGAGTTTGGAAACAAAAGGTCAGTGACAGGAAGAGAAGAACATTAAAAGACAGACAGTAGATTTAAGCTGCTATCTGAACTTGTGTTTGTTGCGTGTTTAAAGTCATGAAAAAAGATATCTCACCTGGTAGAGCTGGCACCTAATGTACTAACACTGAATCCTTGCTGCAGTGGCTGCAAACTACAAATTATGTTTTCAAATCAAATAGCACAATTGCAATTACTTAAATTTAAATGGGCTTGTAACTTCTGTCTTACCTAAAAATTGTGGACAACTGCAGAAGATGGCAGCCAAACACCCAAGTGTGTAACATTGATTTTCCAGTTTATTATCTAACATCACAGACCTATCACCAACCTAAATAACTTAATCAATAATATTGATAACTGTCTGTATTTTTCTGGGGGAGGAACCCTAGACCCCCACTGAACTTATTGAAAGGATCCCTACCGAGACCTTTTTGTTGAAGAGTGTGGTTCTTTTGGGGTTTTTTGGGGGGTATTTACTTCCTGTATTGATGTGTGAGTGAAGCTAATGGTTTAGAGCAGTGTGGATAAGGTTAAAGTTTGTGTTTAATGCAGTGATGCAGTTGCGAACAAATTTAAGATTGTTGATGGACTGTGAACATTATTTTCATGTCAGTAAATTTAATAACAGTACTTCCTTTTTCGCTGTTTTTGTTTATTATAATCATGTTTCTGTAATTTATCAACAGGAATTCAAATTAAGTTACAGATATAGTAACTTTATAGTCGATAATATAATAGCCTTTATTATTTTGTAGTTGTAGTTTTTTGAGTTACACAGAGATCACACTCCAACTAATCAGCTACCCAAGATGAAATTATAGAACCTACAGCACATAACACAGAAACATTTAAAAACCATGTGAAAGAGAGAGTAATTAAAAAGCACTGATTAACTCAATGATACATTATAAGTAATAAGTCTGAAAGTATAACACATTCTCTCTCTCTCTCTCGCTCTCGCTCTCTCTCTCTCGGTCAGTGGATGTCAATGATGTTGGAAAGACTTTAGAGAACAGAGGACCTTCCTCCTCTCAGTGGGAAGGTAAAACTCCTGTATTCTCTGGTATGTATGGAAACACTTTATACTACAGCCCACTGAGCCAATTAGGTAGAATAGGGTCATATTATCTCACATCTATGCTCCTGATACCGGCCATTTACTTGGCTGATGACATTCAATGTGGGTGCTGCATTATAACTGAGTGAAAGCAATGATAAGAGAACTTGAAGATTTTTGCTGCAATTCTCATAATATTATCCTACCAGAAGGTAGGCAACAGGGAGAGAGAGGCAAGAGTACAGGTAAACCTAATCTCTGAAGTAAACACTTTCTTCTTCTTCTGTTTGTCAACCTAAATGAACTCAAACCAACTCCAGCCTCATTGCATGGTTTTCAACTAACCTGTGGGGCTAACCCGGCCATGGAGTTGCGTGATCGACAGTGGGGAATAGAAATCGAATAACATTGGAAAGCTTAGTGGTAGTTAAATCCCCTACACCTAAAACAAAACATTTTAGTACCATTTTTTTTTACCAGTAAACCTTTTGTGAACGCTTACCCACAATGGGTTCCTCTAAGCAGCTGTGTAAGACTCTGAAAAAAAGAGTTATTGATTCCCACTGATGTCCATGATGCAGGAGAAAGCGTTGTCAGCTTGCAGTTTCCACAGTGTGAAATGTAATTAAGGGATGAATGTGGAGGTCAAGATGAGCTCTGGAAGACCAAGAAAACTCTCAGAGAAAACCAATTGTATGCTGGTCAGAAAGGCATTCACCCCCATGTGAATGCAAAAAAGCTGCAGGAACTTTTAGCAAGTCAAGTCATACAAAATTCTGATGATCTTCCCAGTCCCTACATTAAAATCAGTTAAAAGTAGGGATGCAAGATATGGATATTTTTTCAGCTGATACAATAACCGATAATTACTTGCTTATATAGATAGGGCCTATGTGAAATGAAAATAAATCAATTTTTATTGCTTATTCCAGGGCTGTTTCTACCAGAAAGAAACAGTAGTCACATGTGCCAAAATACCAAATACAGAATGATAAGAAATTGGTTGTATCTCAGAAACTGCAAGGAGGACAATATTTGGTATCTATGAACTAGCAACAAGTTCAGTGTTAGAGAAATGCACACATATGCAATGTAAAAAAATATTTCATATAGAAAACATTTAATAAACACAATTGGAGTGTTTTTCCTAATTTTTCAAAGATCTTAACTTTGACCATTGATAAAAGTGTGATTTTTCATGTTATCTAAAAATTGTACTGTTTGATAATTATCCAAAGAATGTGGATACCCAATTTAAGTCTTTAGACCAAAAAATATAATGACATTTTTCTTTGTAAATGTTTAAAAGCTGGGATGTATAAAACAGAACGATGTGTTCAAATCTAATCTTTAAAGGACCAGTGTGTAGGATTTAGTGGCATCTAACAGTGAAGTTTCAGATTGCAACTAACTGAATACTGCTTGCATCTCTATTTGATGACCTTGGAATGAAAACTGGCTTTGAAGTGTGTAGGAGAAACTAACTAACATAACTAAACTAAACATGGCAGCTCAATGTGGCAGTCTCCATGTAAGGTAATTCATGGGATCTGTAGATGAAAACAGCTCATTCAACAAAAACGATTCTCATTTTCAGGTGATGTGAATATTATATTCAATTTCTGACAATACAGCCTAAATGTTACACACTGGGCCTTGAACTTCAGGTTATACGATTAAAAATCTGTCTAATACAATACTAGCAAAATTCTGTTGGACTGCAGTTTAGTCGCTTTTTGTTTCTATGTACGTCACACAGATGGGATTGTTTACCAAAAAAAGCTTCAATCAAATTTCCAAGACAAGTTTATGTGTGCACAAGAGGGGTG